TTCTGGAACCGGGGATTGAGCTCAGGCCCTTGTACTTGCCAGGGAAACGCTTATTCCACTGAGCCATCTCCCTGGCAATGAAAACAATTTAAGCTTCAGAGTATATCACGGTCCTTGTAGGTTAAGATTAGAAAGGGACAGATTTTTGTTTCTCTTTTTTTTTTTTTAAGAAAAGGTTGTTTTGGGAATGCCAAATCAGAAGTTAGATTTCTCACCCTACCTACATTAAAAACACCCCTCATGTACAGTTTTAAGAGTGTGATATCCACAGCACCAGACTTACTGCAAAAAAATCTCTACAAAGATCCACTGTCCTTACCCACCAATCTCGGGTCATCATAAGATCATAGCCAGACGCGCTTATTCTACTGAACTAACTCCCCGGCCCCTAGCCAGACAAATAGGAAATCTATTTACATATACAGCAAGTTCAAAATTATATCCAAGGTAGGCTGCCTGAAGGAGCTCTGCTAAACGTCACTTGCTACTCAAGTTTTCTCCAGAATAACACTTTCAGTATTTTTAGTAAGCTCAGTCAAACAGCGCAGGCTCAGCAGACGGGTGGCTGGCGGGGAGGAGGCACAGGCACCAAGTCACGAGTGGATGAGAAAAAGATGAAACATACTGCAATCTTTTGAAAAACAAAGACATGCCCACAAACAGAAGGGAAAATTGGCATGCAAACGACTTTCTGAGGAAAACTTAGGTAAAACAACCTTCTCTACATGCTCTCCATGTGAAAGGCATGAAACGTGGCGCAGGCTCGCATCACCCTGTGGGAATTCTTCTGGGCCATGACACAGGATAAGCATAGCAGCAAGAGTCCCCCATCAAAGGACTGGGAGCAGTGTCCTGGGGGACCGCAGTGAGGGACAGGCGTGCCTTCCAGTGGGAGCTTGACTGCATGAGCCCAGCATTCTCCCTTTTTCTTGAACACTCCAAAAGCAAAAAGTAAACAGAAAAGACCTCCTTTTCTTTTTTTTTTTTGCAGAAGTGGAGATTGAACTCAGGCCCTTGCGCTTGCCAGGCAACCACTTACTCTACTGAGCTATCTCCCCAGCCCCAAGACATCCTTTTCAACACAGCCAGAAAACACGTAAGATACTTGCTAAGGCTTTAGAAGACCCAGCCATCACGGGAGCCAAGGAAAGTAACAGAAACAAGAGGCGCTGGTGGCAACAGTCCTTGGGCATGGAGGGACATGGACACACACACAGCTCCTGAAAGATGACGAAGGGCCCACAAGCTTGAGAAAGAGGTGAGGTTGGCCGGAGAAACCGAGGGGCCCCGAGCGCAGCTTCGCCGCAGCTGCAGAGACAGGAACGAGTGTGCTGCACTTCCTGCACCTCGACTAACTGCTTCTCAGCAGTTTCCTGCGAGTGAGGCTGGCCGTGCCCACTGGTCTCGCTCACTGAAGAAGGGCCTGGCACCCTGACACAGTGTGGCTAAGTCCTTCGTGTCAATAAAGGACTACAACCACTGAGAGCCAAATGCTCCCAAGTAACCTCTCTGGGACCCAGCGTGTGAACCCTGCATAACTACCGGGAGGCAGGCTGCTCAGACCACCTGCGACTGTTCAGGAGCTAAGAGGTATGCGAGGGGCCCCGAGTTTGAATTTAAAGGACTAGCCAAGGGAGGTGAAGCACCAACTCCCCTAACTCACCAGCAGCTATTTATTTAACAAGGTGGGCTTCTCCTCATGCCGAAGGGCCTTGAGCCACAGCCCGCTACAGGGCAGGGCCACTGGCCCGGAAAGCCCAAATGAGCAGGACAGCACGTCAGCAACGCTCAGCCACGCAGCAGGGCCTGCTCCAGCCAGTCAAGTGATCGTGTGTGGCACCTCCTAACACACTGGGGTCTCAAACTCCGGGGAAAATCTTAACAGTGGCATTACCAGAAACTGCCAAGGCAGCAGGGGAGTGGAATAAAGACCAGGCTGCCCTCACAGGGAGGGGCGGCCCACACCTCCTCTGCAAAACCAGAGAACACCACGTTCCTTAAGTGCTCATCTCGCAGAGGGCCAGGGACAGACTCTTAAGTATAGAGAACAGGACAAGGCCACCCTGCCCCCAAGTGCTGTTCAGGAACTTGGCCGGCAACACCTGTTGTTACTTAAATTAACCTCCGAAAAATATCAAACAGGGCTTTGCTGCTGTTGGGTTCCTTTTCTACAGAGAAACACAAAGGTAAAACACTAAGATGTGTTGGGATTAAATGGAAATAAATGATTACTGAGAACTGTATGGCTGTGAAATTCACAGCCAAATACCTCAAGAAAAGCAAAGCAAAGGCCCACTGACACCCAAGCAGGAGCCGGGGAAGGATGTATTTCTCCACACTAGAAACAGAAAGGCTGTAGGAGCCCCGCTGCCAGCGCGGGCGCTGTCGTCTGCTTCCACGCGTGGGACCTACCTCCGGCTGTGGCTCAGAGCTCAACCTAAAACCTTGCTCTCTGGATCCCTCCCTCTCAAATCTACCTATAGTTGAGACATTTGGAGAAAAACCCTCCTCATGTGACTGTCTGAAGTTCGGAAAATGTGACCTGGGGCCCGAGAGTGGAGAAGAAAGCAGGTGGAGGCTGAGCGAGTCAAGTTAGCCACAGGGAAAACTCCCTTCTTGCTTCTAAGGCAGGGTCTTGCTCTGTAGCCCAGGCCTGCCTTGAATTCGCCACACAGTGCAGGCTGGCCTAGACTCCTGGCAGTCCCTGCAAGGCAGTGGGATCAAGATGGGCACTACACGTCCAGCTTACGAGGGAGGTTCCCCCCAAGCTAAGGGCTGCCGCCGTGGGGACACAGAACTCTGCACCTCACAGGGCACCCACCAGGCCCCGGAGACAGGTCCTCAAGCTCCCTCAGGAGAAGCAATGGCGTCCTCAGAGTGGGCACGCAGGGGCAGGGCTGGGGCTGGCTGGAACTCTGGACAGGCGTGACGGGGCCATCAGGCAGGTGCCTCCTACCTCTTCCAGCCGCCGCCGCTGCTCCTTCTGCTGCTCGATGCGCTTCTGCCGCTCGGCCAGCAGCTGCCGCTTGTACTCCTCCTGCTCCCGGAGCTGCTGTTCCTGCAGGAGCTGCTGTCTCCGCAGCGCCTCGGAGCGCTCCTTGTTCTCCTGCTGCAGTCTCAGGAAGTCCCGGCGCAGGGTGGACTCCCCAGGCACGTTGACAATGGAGCTGCAGGGAAGTGGAGCTTCAGGGGCGCCCAGCGGGCAGGAGCACCAGTGCTCGCTCCGTCCATTCTCCCGAGACAGGCCTGCTCACAGGGTCCAGGCTGGCCCGGATTTCCGTGATCCTCCCAACTCAGACTCCCAAGTGGGGAGATTAGGACACGGCTCCTACCACTCAGTAATGGTGAGCGCTGAAGTCACCTTCCTCCTCCCACCCACTGCTTCCTTCAGTGAAGAGAAACTTCAGCGCTCAGCTGCTCAGCCTTGCCTGGTCCTTGCCTGTTCATTCCCCTGCTCCCCGGGCCCTGCCCAGTCCCAGACCTGGCCAGCAGCTGCGCCCATGTGAGTTGCAGAGGTAGGTCACTGTTCAGACAGGACAGTGGCTCCCCAGCTCCTGGTGCCCCCACTTCTTCAGAATAATATGGTAGTGAACAAACCCCCATCCAAAAATATACTGCTTAATGGCAGGCCAGATAGCTCAGCGAACTAAAGCACCACAGGCGGAGCACAGGGGCCGGCCTCTGCATGCAGTGCAGGGCTGAGATGGGGCTTGAGAATGGGCGTGGTGGAGCGCACCTGTAATCCTAGCACATGGAGGCTGAAAACAGGAGAATCACTACGAGTCCAATCTATGTACTAAGACCCTGTAGACCCTGCACTAAATACATTAAAAATAACTCATTAATATTGCTCAAAATCAGTGGAAAATCCTCTACAACTGTGAGTTTCAAGCAGACTCATATACTCTGTCTAAGAAGAAAGCACTGCTGGGCCTCCTGTGGTCCCTCCTGACAACTTCCGTCATCAGGCCTCTCCAGATGCACCCTTCCTCTGCCCAATGAAAGTCCATGCACACGGTCTGCTCTGACTCAAGCCAGCGGGGGCTCGTCCAGGTCGGCTGGCAGCCCCATTCACTGCACACTGGGAAGCCGGGAGCAGCACATGCAGGCCACAAACTGGGTCGGCACAGAGTACACCCTCACCCGGGAAACCAAGCGCCAGTAACCACACGGGGAAGAGTGGAACCGCGCTGAGGGCCAGGCCAAGAGGTTGTCAGTGCTCAATGGGGGCCCCTCTTGTCACTCACGACAGACCCAGGGAGGGTCCCATCGTGAGCCCCAACACAATCCCCCTTCCCCGTGATGCCCCTTTCCAGGCCAGCAAGGCTGGATCACTGGTCAGTAATGTGGGACCCGTCCCAGGTGCGCAGGCCTCTGGAGCCTGCCGCTGGGTGCAGTGAAGCCCTGCCGGGGCAGCCACCGCCCGCGCCTGGCCTTACCTCGGCTCTCCTTCCTGCTCAGGCACTTCCTCCTCCTCCTCCTCGCTCCCGCTGTACTCATACTCGGTCTCGTCTGTGCACACAGAATGTGGAGACAGTCACAGCTGCTGATGCGGGCGGCACGGGCCAGCAGCCCCAGGAGCAGCCCAGGAGCAGCCCCGGAGACAGCAGCTCGCCCCAGGACAGGGCGGGGCAGGACACGTTATATTCCCACTTGGAAGGGGGCTGCTCTCCGGGCCGGCCAAAACACCCCCGACGCGGATGTTCTGAGGGTCTCAGAGCAAGGGCTGAACAAGAAAAGGGACCAGCAAGTTGACAAGCCCGGGTGCCAGAGCTGGAAGGGGCTGAGGCATCGAGATTGCAGGTGGGTGTTGGCAACCCCTGGGAACCCCAGAGTGCAGAGGGTCTGGGGCAAGGAAGGGAGGCCCCAAGTGTGGCACGCACCCCAAATCTAACACCCCCACCAACTACGAAAGGCCAGTCCAGAAAAAACTAATGGCATGGGAGAGTGAAAGAATAGGACAAAGCTACTCTCACACCAGACATAAGCAAAAAGGCCAACGTAAGTAATTCATTTTCACTTCACAGACTTTACTCCCGCTCTCCGGGAGGTGAGAGGCCACGGTATTAGTCTCCTTCACACATAAGCTCAAACTTCATTCAGCAGCCTCATGCTGGAGAACAATCAAGACCAGAGGCCACGAAGAGATTAAACAAAGTCTACTCACAAACAAAAATTTTGCTTCTTGTCAGAGCTATGTAAGATGAAAAATCATTTTCCTGGTAAGAAAAACAGGCCAACAGACTTGTGGCTCCAGACAAATTAGTCTAGACATAGGATGTGGCTGGGAAGATGGCTCAGTAGTCTAAGTGCCTGCCTGGCAAGCGCAAGGACCTGGGTTCAATCCCTGGTATGGCATGCCATGCTGGCCCTGGAACCCCTGACATGCTGTGCTAGCCACCAAAACCAGGTGTGGTGGCGCACACCTGTAATTCCAGCCCTGGGGAGGCTGACACAGGAGGTTCACTACCAGTTCAAGCTGTGTAGCAAGTCCCTGCACCAAATAAATAAGTTAGTTCTTCCCTGTTAGACAATTAGACCATATAACTTTAACTTTTTTTTTTTTTTTTTAATACAGAGTTTTGCTACGCAGCTCAGACTAGTAATGATCCTCCTGTCTCAGCCTCCCCAGTGCTGGGATTACAGGTGTGCCCCACTATGCCTGATTTCGGGGCTGGCACAGCATGTGGTACCAGGGATTGAACCCAGGTCCTTGAGCTTTCCAGGCAGGCACTTAGATCGCGGAGCTATCTCCCCAGCCCCAGACTGAATAATTTTAATACACACATAGATACTTACTGTTTCTAAAGGGAATGCAGACCTAAACAATCACTGGAATCTTAAGTAAGTGCTCTTTTTTTAAAATTTTGCATTATAAGCCACAGCCAAGAACCGCGAGGCACAGTTGCTATGAGGGAAGCAACAAGACTACGGCAGGCTACTCTGCCCTTTCTCCCCATGAGACGACACAAGGACAAAGACACAGCCGTGTGGCCCAGGGCAGGCATTTAACAAACACTGGTGCACAGCTGATGGTAGGTTCTGTGAGGGGGACACGACCCCACACCCTGCGCCAGCACCAGCCGGTCAGCTGGACCACACTTCAGTCTCATTTCTTCCATCACAGCAACTGTAAGACCCCAGTGAAGTACAGGACAACCCAAGACCGAAGGAGAGCGATGGAGTACAAAGACATGCTCTGAGGACAGACAGGAAAACCACACCAGTCACACAGCATCCGCTGGGGACACACCATCCTACAGGGCTGGCTGGACCCCAGGCACAATCCTAGAAGCACGCAGCAGAGACCAACAACAGAACACTGCCGGAGGAGCACAGTGTCACCTTGGGGAAGGCACGACCTGTTCTCACTGGCAAGAACCTAGAAAAAAAAAACTTTTAAAGGATAAATTTAATACCTTTCTCTCCTCTCTTCTTTCTGGTCCGGTCTATATGGTCCTTAAGCTGAATTCGAACTTGCCTTTCATTTGGCTGATCTCTTATAAAAGGATGCTTCAAAAGCTGCTCTGTGGAGGGCCGCTGCATGTAATTCTTTACCAGGCATCCTTCTATAAAACTAAAAAATTTCTTCGACCTGTAGGACAAAGGGAAAAATACCCATTTCTACCACAAAAAAAAAAAAAAAAAAAAAAAAAAAACAGAGCTCCAAAAGACTTATAAACTACAAGCTTGGAAAAAAAAACCTTCAGAATCCACCACGAACACTCTGCGAATGCCCAAGAACAATGCAAAAACAGAATGAGGAGCGCGGGCTTGCTGGGGACCAGGAGCGGGCCACACAGTCCCAGACTTACACCCGCCCCGTGAGCGCTGCACGGGAGGCCGGCTGTCCGGTCCTGTGCTGCTCGCTCATCACCGAACCGCAGGCAGAGAAGCAGGGGCACGGGGGCGGCGCTGCGTGGGGTCGCCACAGGGCAGCAAACGTGAAGCTCACCGATGACCAGCCGCGCTGGAGGCTGCTTGGGCTCCCGCGCAGAGGCGTGGGGGGCAGCTGGGCTGGGCACGTGCGTGGCGAGCCTGTCTCCTCGCTGCCCACCTCTCCAGCCCGGCCCCCACCGCGCTGCCCCACCCTCACACATCCTTGCCGGAAGGTGGGGCTTGGCACAGTCCCCAGGCCAGGGGGACCCCAGCTGCACGCTGCCCCCCAGGCCCGGGCAGGAGCCCTCCCCTGGGGTCGCCCACACGCAGGAGACTGCACACGCCTGCGCCTCCCCCTCCTGGCTGGAAGCAGGCAAGGCAGGCCCAGCTCACTCCAAGTGCTCAGCTTCCTCGGGGCCGCCATAATCGACAGGCGGCAGGTATTTGTTGGATGAATTAATGTTTCAGTTTTTAGAAATAATAGAATTTAGAAAATGAGTTCAGCTCTAATTATTTCACCACTTTAAAGAATCATTTCACTTACCTTGTATTTCTGCCCAAACGGTATTTATTTTCCGTTTGACAAATATTTACATATGTATTTATGGTAGGCTATATAAGAAATATATATAGGAAATAAAGGAGAGGAGATTTAGGTATACAGGGCAGAAAATTGTAACTCAACTTGCAGAGAAGAAAAAAGCCAAACTAGTACAACGATGGTCGGTGTTTGATACTCAGAGATGGGTGCGAGCAAATAGCAACCCAGAGAAGAAACAAGGGCGCCTGGAGGAGGATGGTGAGAGAAGCGCAGAGAGCAGGAGAGCAGGTCAGGGTAAGTTCAAAGCCACTGAGCGCACAGGGGCACCACGCGGTGCCAGCCACAGAGCACTGCCCACAAGGTCCCTGAGCCCTGCGGGAGCCAATTAAAACGCACACACCAGAGTCCCACCCCAGACCAGAAACCCCAAGCCTGGAGCCCTGGCTTAAAAGGTTCCGAAAGGTTATGGGTGCTGCGTCCGGACTACCATCTGCATGCAGGTCAAGCACCTGCAGCGCGCTCTTTACAATCAGCAGCTGAATTCTTCTGGAGAAGACTCTGGCTGTCTTCTGACGGTTACTTCTCCCAAAATATAACAGTAGAAATTTACACCTTGTGTTCAGGAAGACAGCGAACACAACAAAAGAAAACTGACATCAGCAATCACCTTGTCCCTTCGAGACACACGGGCTCACTGCAAAGGGCAATGAAGGTGCATGGATGTGGGTCTTGAGGCTCTGCTGGATGGAGCGACCCATGTCCACTGCACACGCGGGTGCCTGGGGCCAGCCACCCATGCTGCCCTGGCACCGTCACGCATTTACAGAGTGGATCAATCAGGACAGAAGACTCTGCAGCTGCATGGATTTCCAGAGCGTCAAGAAACCAGAGAGCAGAAGGAGCTGACCTGAGGTGTCGGGGACAGAACAAGGTGGCAGGCAGTGCACAGAGTGGAAGAAGCCCAGTCCATGGAAGAGAGGTACAGAAGGAGCCGTGCAAGGTGCTGGGAACCAAGACAGCAAGGACGGAGACGCATGGAAGAAACGGGGCTGGAATACATGGGCACATCCGTAACCATGAGGGGACGAGAATCTGCACACCTCAGAAGATGAGCACATGGGAAGAATAGCACAGACAAGCCCAGCCAAAAGACCAAGAGCAGCACGGCAGAAGGCTGGACAGAGACACCCTGTTCACACACTGCAGCAAGACAGGCAAGAACTGACGCGCAGGAGCTCATGCAAACCACGCTTAACAAGAGATGGGGATGTGGGGGCCACACAGGCAGGGGACGGGGAGGGGGCAAGCAGCTGTGGACGGAAGCTTGCACACAGAAGGGGACAGAAAAGGACTCAGAAATTCAGGTGAGACAAGTGGGCAAAACCGTAAATTCCAAAGCTGCACCCCGTGCGGCAGCACCCCCAGCCCCGTGTGACGTCCATCCTCAGTCCTCCTCTGACAGTGTACGGGAGCAGCAAGGGAAGGCAGGTGGCCACTGGGGGACAGAGGACATCTGTTCCTATGCCCTTTGGGGTGAAGCAGGGTTCGCCAAGCACCTGGCGCCTTCTCACACAATCAAGGAGTTGCTCCATTGATTTTACAACCCCGCATCATCTGAGAACATTCAGCACAGCACAGCACTGCGTTTGTAAAGATGGTCAGGAGGACACGACGCTATGCTTCAATATCTACGGAACACTTTCTTTAACCAGTTAGCATTTTATACAAAGTCACTTGCTGCTGCATCGGAACTCAAAGAGAATTTATCAAGAAGCAAACTGAGGGAAAAACAGGCTTCATTTAGTTGTGTTTTGAGGCAGTGGTTTTTATGCTCAATGAAATTGCAACGGCCAGAACTATATCTCAGAAGAAAGTAAAATGAGAAGGGGGAGAGAAGTCAGAGGGACAAAGGATGGGAGGGACAGAGGGAAGGCGAGGCAATCAACAAAAAAACAGCCACGTGTGCTCACCATTTCTTAGACTTCAGCCGGGGAGGAGGGTTCCTGGGGATGAGGAACAGCGCTCTCATCGGGTGCATGTCACAGAGGGCTGGGGGAGGAGATGACATCAGTGTGGCCCTCACTCACCCACCCGATCCGCAACCCACTCAAGAGTCGGCACTGCACACTGCTCCATAGCCTGACGTTGGCTTCGGGCCAGTCTGTAGCTGCCATTACTAAGCCTAGGCGCACTTCAAATTTCCCATTTAGTAACAGAAAAATAAAAGAAGAACAGGAACATACAACTTCACACAGACATCAACAACTTTTCGTAAATCAAAGTAAAAAAACCAAAGTCAAAGTCTAAAAGGAGGTAATGCTTAAGTTTTTTAAGCTACCCATAAGACTGCAATAAAAATGACTGTACTTTCTCAAGGATTAAATAAGATAGGGCTTGCAAAGGCCTCAGCACAAAGCCACAGCTGAGCCCACCAGAAATGCTGTCATTACCGTAACTAGTACTGAAAGAGTCAGAACTGAGTGGACAAGAGGATTCCTGCCCTTCCTTCCCCCGCTGCTGCATTAGCTGGGGAGCCCACATGTGGGCAGCGCACGCCTCCACGTGTCTACTGACCTCCAAAAGACGCTAGCGCAGCAGCTTGGAGGAGGGATGGGAGCCAACATGGTATTGCCCTTATGAAAGAAAACCGGGACCAAGGCACATGCGGTACTTGGCGCTCGGTTCCTCAGAAACAAACACAAGGGACTGATGGTGTTCAGACAGGCATTCTTCTCTGCATAGCAAACTAGCATTCAGGAACAACGTACCAGGCAGTTAGACACTGTACTATTTGTAGGGGCCCCAGCAGAAAATTCGGGGTTCTTCCCCCCTTTTTCTTGGCAATTCTACCCTATCCCTGATCAAAAAAAATCAACTTTATGAAGTTCTCACTGACTTAATCCAAGGAAAAGCCAACACCCTTACAAATGTTCATCAGGTGATTAAAAAAAAAATTATTCTGTAAATAAAAGATAATTCCTTTATCTGTAAAGTTAAAACTTTTAGTAATAGAACTTCATGAGTCAGAACTAATTTCACTGAATATTAAATCCACAATGCAAACAGAAAGCCGAGCGCTTGCCTGGTCTCTTCGGAGAGCAGACATGAGAACACTAAGTGACAGAAAGCACGGCTTGCGGATAGCCCAGGATGCCCGGCGGCCAGGCTCGCCCTCTGCACGCCCCACCAGGAAGGACTCGGCAGGGCGCGGGTTTAGGTTGCTTACAGCCACGCTCAACAGGAAAGACGGGTACTTACGGGGAGCACCTTCTGCCATCTCAATGGCTGTAATGCCGCAAGACCAAAGGTCACTCTGCAGAAGAAAACAGCGTGTTACGGGTACTGTTAGCTACAAAACCACAGCCTGTTCACTCAATAAAGGCATGCTTTCAGGGACACAGTACGAAAGAAAATCTGCCAAAGGAGGAACACATCCATAAGGACATTTTACAATTGAGTGAATTAAAAAAAATAAAATTACTGTTGATTTATAATGAAAACCAATCTTATCTACAATTAACTAGAGAAGATTCACTTCAAAACCTCCCTGTAACTAATTAGTCTAAGGTCATTAGTAACAGCTTAGTCTCCCAACCAGTATTTATTTTACGCCCTGTGTTACTGCTTCAAACTTAATTAAAATGTGTACAGCTTAAAATGTGCGTGCACTCTTTGTAAGGTGCACTGTAGGGCGCCAGCACCGAGCGATGTACTGGGGCATGAACTCAGTTCTGAATATCACTGACAGGTACGCTGACCACGCTGGCGCATTTAATTAAAGCAATGGTTCACAAAAGTTTTTGTAAACAGTCTGCTCATCCCTTGTGTGGCACCTGGATCAAAAACATGCATTACTATTTCAAGCCTCTAGAGGTCACCCTAGGAATTCCAGAAAACTCCAGGAACTAACGAAAGCTGTACAGAGCTTCAAACAAGAGCAGTGAAGGGACTGTGTACCTAAACTGTGTTTTATAAAGAGGAAACGTGTGACCCTAATGTGGTCTTCAAGTGAGCAGGAATCACGGTGCTGCGCTGACTTCCGGTGAGGGGTATAGCTGCTGGGGACCAGGGACTAGCACCTTCCGCAGGAAGGAGCTCGGGCACAGCTGTGCACCAGGAGGACGGCATCCAAGCAGTGCGGGCCGCCGCCGTCACCACGGCAGGGGCTCCCAAGCAAGGTGCCCCATCCCCAGACTGCACCCCTTACTCTGTAGTCGTAGGTGGCATCTGGGTTCTCGTCGCAGGCGATGACCTCGGGTGCCATCCAATAGGGGGTGCCAATGAATGTGTTTCTCCGGCCCACTGTCCTGTCCAGCTGAGCACTCACCCCGAAGTCCACTGTAAGAGGAAGACAGAGGAATGGGGGCACATGGTCCATAAACATGGAAGATGAGGAGGCATCCTGAGGGCACAGGGGATGGCGCTGCCATAGGACAGCCAGCTGCAGGAAAGAGCACTGTGAGGGACAGCCCGCTTCGGAGCTCGCTGCCCAGCCAGCTCACCAGCTCCGCTGCCACCTAGAAGCTCCCAGGAGCCAGGTACAGCCACTGGTGGCCTGCGCAGGCCTTATGCAGGTGGTGATCCTTGGTGCTTCAGAGGACCCACCTGCCTCGACCAAGTGCAAGTTCAGGGGAACAGACCTGAGAGCCCCTCGCTGGGGCTTCTGAAGCAGCCCTGGGGTTTCTAGAACATGGCACTACACTAAAGACAGCAATACTACACGAAGAACGCCTGCCAAAACAGTCAGCACTTACGTTTTTCAGGGTCCTTTCTACCTTTTACCCAACTCAGTGGTGACCCTGGAGGGGTGGCAGAAGCCCCCCACTCTGGACACGTCTGCCCAGGAGTCCCAGCCAGCACCAGGCTCCATACACTGCTGTGGCTCCTGCAGGAACGCACACCAGCGGGCCAGCTCCTAGGCATGGCCGTGGGGCGCAGGGCTGGCGCCCCAGCACACAGAGGCTGCTCAGCCAGCAGCAGGCACAGCAGGCAGCGGCTCTGCTCCTCCCAGGAGCCCCAGGCCACCTCAGCCAGCGTTCTGGCAGCTGATCCCGGAGCAACCCAGGCCAGGGGACCCACAGCTCTCCACGCCATGGTGCTTCCTGGCACTGGGCAGCAGTCCTCCTGACTCCCTGGCACAGGGAAGACAACAGTGGCAGGCTCTACGAGAACAACTTCCCCACCTCATTTCGAAAAAGAAAGGCAGACTAGATGGTCGTGAGCATAAAGAAGGTGAGGATTTTTTAATGATCCATTAGTGGAAGACAAATGACAGCTAATACTGCTGGAACCCTTGACAGACCATCCCGTGAAAATCAAATGGGAACGTGTTCCGATCCAGTCAAAGGAAACAGGCTGGAAATCAGTGTGATGTCACCTCCAGGAAGACACCAGGCTCATGCTCTTCTCCACGCAAGGCCACGTGCCAGTGCTGCCTAGGAGCACTCTCGATCTAGCTGCTATGTTCCCAGAACTTAACATGAGCAGAGATATGGGAAAATAAATTACACTACATTAAAAACTGGGGAAGAATAAAGAAGCAGAGCCTAGGGCAGTTCAGTCAGGAAAAGTGCCTGTGGCTGAAGGAAGACCTGCAACTTCAAAGCTGGGGCTGGGCGCCTTCAGTGCAGGCACTGTGCAAGGCAGGGTGGGGACACAGGAGGGAGTCACAGAACGCAGCAGGGTCCGACCCCAGAGCATCTACGGGCCAGGGCCCGAACCTGGATCCTGTCCCAAGTAAAACAGCGAGCCACTAAGGGCCGGGGGGGGGAAGCGGGGTACCAGAGCTGGACTTCAAACTCAGTCTGGCTGCTTCTCACAGGAGGAGGAGCAGGGGAGGCACGTGGGAGCGCTGCCCCCGTGACTGGCTAGAGCCTCAAGCAGGCACCACAGTGAGGCCTTGCAGCAAGGGGCAGAGAATAGGCAGTGAGTAAGGCCCACCTGCATCAGCACCTGCCCACCACACGTACCGAGCTTCACCTCCGCGTTCTCCGTCAGCAGCACATTCTGGCCCTTGATGTCCCGGTGGATCACATGATGGATGTGAAGATGTGCCAGTCCCTGAAGAGAGACAGTATGAGCTTGGCTCTGCCTCACTCCAAGTGAGCAGCCAGCTGCAGGCCTCTGACAAAAGCATGCAAAAATGGGCCAGGTGCTTGTGTGAACTCTATGTGGAACACAGGGTCACCCTTGGTGCATTTGCAGGAGGATGTCACACAAACTCCCACACATACAGAGCCCTGTCCTTGCCCCTTCAGCCAGCTGGGGTCACCCCAGAGTAGCATGCCCGCTCCTACTATGCCTTTAAGACACGCTGTGGCCTCCAGCTGCAGTCTCTTGGCTGTAATTTGTGCTATTTGTGTACAGGGCGGTTCATTTCCCACGACAAGCATCTATGTTCAGCGGGTGACCCCGTGGTCTGTGTGAACCAAACCCATCCCAGGAGACAGTGGAGGGCTGGGAGGGGTCAAGGCTGTCTTCCCACCACATGGTGCCAGTCAGCTCCACCTCCACCCCAGTGTTAAACAGTGCTGCCATCCGAAGAGCCTGTACTGAGTTATCTTTCTTCCCAAGAAAACAGGCCCTGCGGGGTGCCTAGCCCTTGCTTATGGCCCTTGCTCTGGAAGGAAGCCCAAGAGAGGTGGTCGGGAATGAACACACCCTGCCCCCATCTGTCCCGCAAGACGCTGCGCATCTTCTCGGTGCTCACCGAGAACCCGTGCTTTGCTGAGAAGCCAAGTCTATCGCTGTCTCCCTGAGCCCCAGCAACCTACTTACTCTGAAATGTCTCCTTTCAAAAGGACAGGTGACAGAGTGTTCATTTAATTTTTCTCTTATTTTTCTACTTGGTTTCACTTTATTATCAGTAGAAGGGCCTGGTGCATGGGCTCAAAAATGCCCATCCCACATGACATGAGAGGGAAAGAAAAGAAAAACCAAATACAAAATCCTAGAGATACAGCCCGGGCATCAAGATGGCTTTGCTACACGAGCAACGACTTAGTGCCAGCTAAAACAATTTAGAAACTTGCTCTGACATCACTAGACAGCTCTGCAGTTGGCTGCAAATCACATGGAACAGCAGACCGTTTCTTCAGAAGTACTACAACAGACTTCAACAGCTGACGTGCTGGCCCATGAGAGGTCCCTGAAGCCAGCCTCAGAGCCCGCGCGGTGATCTGGGGCACGCACATGGGCTCCAGGAAAAGCAGAGGCCTGGGGTCTTTCTCTTTCCCTCCATCCCATCTCCTTCAGACTCCAAAGCCAAGTGTCGCTGGTGGGCAGTGACAGCCTGGAAACACAAAGCGCTCCAGGTGCCCCTAGATAGCCATGGGTGGGCCTGGGGCTCCCTGGAAGTCCTCTGCAGACCAGCCTCAGCAGCAGCGTCCTCTCCGTGAAGTGGTCCGTGCGTACCCCACCTCACACTGCCAGAGTAACACCTAACGCACGGCAGCGGCAGAGAAACGGGACAATGACAAGCCAGTGCAGAGCAGGTCACCCCAATCCCTCTGAGCCCCAGATCGGAGGCCTGCAGTTCTACGTGTGCCCTCTTTAGAGACCTGCCAGACCAAACTGCGATGCTGCTCACACCCCAGAGCTAACAAGTCGCGCAGCGTCCTTGGCTGTGGAAGGCAGGACGGTCCGTCGCCATGACGCAGACCCCAGACAGGCTCGGCCGACCATCACAGGCCACACGCCCGCTTCGCTCACCCTCAGGATCTCTCTGGAGATGTAGGCGATCCAGTCCTCCTTGAGCGTGTTCCCCTTGGTGTTCTTCACGAGGTCTGTGATGGACCCGGCCCCGCAGAACTCCATGACAAGCTGCAGGACACGCGTGAGGCGGTGAACATGTGAGGGGAGGAGGAGCACCACCCGCCTCCGTCCTCCAGCCCGCAGCGCCGAGCCCAGGAGCCGAGGGCACCCGAGGCTGCGCAGCCCTGCTCCCCTCTCCTGCGTCCCAGCAGCGGGCACCGGGGCCATCCCGCCCCTCGCCCTGCCCGCGCGCCTCCAAGGTCGCCTGTTCTTCCCACAGGGGGGGCCTCACACTATTTCATAGTAACTGGGTTTCATTCAAAAGGGAAATGCTGTTTTAAGCAGTTGTGTAACTTTTAAGAGCTGCAAATTTATAAAATCTACAGTTTAAAAAATACAATCTCAACAGAGATACTAGAAAATGAACTTCTAAAATTTCAACACTGAAGGGATGCAGGTAACAAAAATAAGGATAATTTTCTCTTCTATTTTCTTAATTTTACAACCTTTTCTATAATGGATTTTTTTTTAAAATCCTTAGGAAAAATGCACTCCGTCTCCCTATTACGCAAGCCCCAAGCCTGAAGCCCGAGCGGCAGGAAGCCCAGGCCTCCCAGTCTCAGCCGTCACTCTGAAGACAAACATGCTCAAGACACGCAGCCCCAGGTGCGTCCAGGAATTTCCCTGAACTTACTGACTTAATTATCTAGAGTCGCAACACTACTAATAAGTGAATGCCAATACTCTGTTTCTCACTTCAATTTTTGTGTATAAAAGGCTGAAATTTATTGAACTTTCATATTAACTGGTTCCCACACATGAAATTTTTCCTGTATTACTTTCAAATTCCTATTTTCTTTGGTAGTCCTCACATTCCTTATAGAAGGTGCCGATCTATTCCTGGAACATGAAGCTAACTTTTTTTTTTTTTTTTAATGGATTAACAATTTATTCACCAATTTAAATGGCATAAAACCAAGAAAAGAAATACTGTGGTCATTCTTCACTGTGAAGTCCCATTTAGTATTACTACCAAAGCAGGACTCTGACAGTCTGCTGGGCTGGATTATGTCTCCACGTGTGCTGCTGAGCAACAAAAAGAGGCGCAGCAAGTCAAGCTTTTTCATTGAATGAAGCTAACTTTCTGCAAGAAGCGTGAAATAACCTCACAACAAACGCTCAGCCCATCTTCCGCCCATCTGCCACAGTGAAGGCCAGCTGAGCGGCCCTGGAGTCCCTGCTCCCCACACCCCATGCACTGCGGCTCATGCCCTCTCGGACACAGCGCAAAGAAGAAAGCCCGCACGTACAGCACCGGAGCGCTGCCTACCCAGAGCTGGTCATCATGGCCCGGAGGGCTCTTTTTGATGAAAGCACCATAGTACGTTGCAATATTTCTATGATGAGAATATTTCTTCAGCATATTTATCTCCAGTTTGATTTCTTCCTCTTCATCCTTAAGAATGAAACACACAGTTGTTAATGATGCATCAGTCTGCATTTTCTCCATATACACATTATCTAGGTGTTCAATATGCTCAATACGCACATTAATCCGCTTGGCAAGTATCTTGCCCTTAACTTGCTTGTTTACAACAGTGCCAACAGCAAGCTGGGTAACACTGTAGACTCTTCCCGTTTTGCCATGGTAGCATGTGTGAGGCATTCCTTTGTGCACAGGACCCATTCCCTTGATGTCTACAATATCACCCTTTTTGTCAATTCACATGTATGTGGCCAAAGGAATAACCCCATGTTTTCTAAAAGGCCTGGAAAATATATACCAGGTTCCCCTCCTCCTGCCCTTTCTGTTAGTCATTTTGGCAAGTTACTGGAAGACGACGATTCCGGCCGAAAGGCTACACACATTATCTAGGAAAAGAAATTCCCAGGCAGGTGAGATGTGTGGACCTGCACTCACTCCTTACTCAGGGCCTTGTCCTGGGAACGTGACCACAAGCTGCAGCACTGGACCAGAGTGGGAACTGGGAAGGGCTGGCTCCTCACCACTGTGACCTCGGGCCATGCTCCCCACTTCTCTGGGCCACAGGACGCTCAACTGGAACCCAAAAGGTAACTAACTGATGGTGTGACTTCAGCTACTACTTACTAGGAAAGTGTTTCTCTTCTAGAAAACATTCATGAATACAGATGGTCTTGATCCACCTGAGGCTGGCAAAGGTGTCCCAAGCACAGGGTGGATCACAGTGCAGTGATAGGACACCAACCCAGGAAAAGGCTGCATTCAGGGCAGCCCTGTGGGCCCCAGGACAAAGCCCCAGTGAGCAGGCCATTCCAAACTTGGCTCTTCCCCTGGCGTCTCGCTTATTAAAGTAAAGCAAGCTGAGGAGAAGCAAGTCGGATGACATGGGGCAAAGGCAATGCAGAAGGATGGTTGCAGAGGAAGGAAAGTCAGCTGCGCTTTTTACCTGCCTCCCTCCAGTCTACTTCTGTCTAAACTAGTCCCAGGGTATCATTTCCATCCAGGTCCACCAGTGGGCTGCACTTCCTGACCGAAAGTACATGCTGCCTGAGATGCACCCTGGAGGCATGCTAGGCAATCATTCCAGATCACAGAGCACTCTAATTCTGCTGCAGTTTTTTCCTTAACCAGTGTCTTCTGGGACCTGTTTACCAGTCTAGAAAGAGCTGCCATAGTTATGGGCTATACTATGTTTTCACAGCCCATAAATTAAAAATCCAAGTTCCACACCGAAGTTCGCGAGCCTCACATCCCACTGTTCACTGCTATGAAAAGCGTAGGCCATACACACTGCAGACACAGTTGGCAGAGGGTCGCGGGGTACTGCATTTCACAGAACCCAAAATGCCTCTGGACGAAGAGGCTACCACCTCTCGTAAAGAAACCCCTGCAGGACCACCCTGCAAGACCCACGCTGTACCGTCTGCAGAGCAGGCTATATCTTAGACTCAACAAGCTAAGAACAGCTTAGACAATCACGTCTGACACATCTTTTCTAATATGACTGAAGCCTCTGAACAGCATCTAGAAACAGTTATTGGATCCCAGATATAAAGCAGTCAAATCCTGCAGTATAAAGAACTGAACCCCCAAAATTCTGGGGGGAAATCATAATTCTTCTCTCAAAACTTGTAGGATGTTTACATCCTGTGAACGTCTTCTCTTGCTTTATGGTTGTAAGACAGGCGGCCGATGGTTGCACATCTTATAAAGGCGCCTAGCAGCACTAATTGTCCTCTCTGTCTAATTACCAATGCCTACCCCTGGAGAAAAGGCAGCAGCAACACAGAATCTGCCAACCACTTTGAGCCAACTACAACCACAATCCCAACTAATGACTGATGCTTATTATGTAGTATTTCATGTTGTCTTTAGAGTAATAACAAACCAACTTGTGAGTTTTAGTCTCCCTTTAGTCATGCACTGAAAATTAGTTTGGTGGGCTCACTGTAGCACCCAATGCACACATGGCTACCTCCACCTCCACCGCCACCACCACCACCAGCACCACACACACACACACACGCACACGCACACACACACAGCCAGAAACGCAGCAGCACACAGACCTGGAGTTGGCTACAACTAAAACTTAAAGGCAACAACAAATCCCACATATGCAAAGAAAGCTGGCAACACTGGCAGGAACTGACACACACCATGTGTCCTGGCGCCCCAGTGACTGCGCCCCTCAGAGGACCACACCAGAGGAAGGAAAGCAGAGAGCACTGGCTAGGAGTCTGGAGCACCCTTTCCAAAGGAAGAAAGCAAGGGCTCCACCTCCTCTTCTCACTGGCCAGGCAGCTGCCACCCAGCCCCAGGCTCCATGCAGCTGACACCAATTAGCATTTTGGACACTGACCAGGGAGCAGTTCTCACAAGTGAGGTCTTTGTCTGGCCCAGGATCTGCCTGGGCATGGGCGGCAGGGGGCTGCAGGGCCTCCCCTGGCCGAGACGGGAGGGAGGGTGAGCATCTGCAGGGTGGCAGTGTCCCCGCAGCACGCTGGCTGCTGAGCAGGCAGATGACGAGCCCACCACTCCACCATCCAGCACACAGCGCACTTTGCTGTTTCTCGGCAACATAAACTCTCCTTCCCTAAATTGTCCTCTGTCGGAGGAATGTGCAAGAGACGGGCAAGCCACAGGCAAGTTGGCTGACCCAGATGACCGAGAGGTCTGAGCGCAACCCTTCCACCTGACAAACCATCTTCACATGACGAAGGATCATTCCGAGACAGACGGACAAACAGCAAAAGGCAATGCACTGTGCACTCCATCTGTGTTGATGCGGGAGAGCTCACAAAATGGGACACACGTATCTCTAGAAGACTTCTGCACCCAAGTGCACAGTAATACACAGCTCAACAATGTCTCCCGTAAGCCTAGCCCTTAGGAGGCTGAGGCCATAGGACAAGTCTGAGCCCAGCCCGGGCAACTTAATGGCTTAGTGAGAGGCTGTCTTGACAAAACAAAACACAAAAAAACAAAACAAGCTGAGGGATGCAGCTCAGCACAAAGGCCTGGGGTTCATTCGCAGTAATGAAAAAGCAAAAGGAAAAAACTATTTTAAATATCTGTTTCTTAAAGCCAGTTTATAAGTTTTAGTCAAATACCATCCTTTATACGACAACAGGTGGTAGGAAAATGAGACCACTTGTTACTGGTAAAGCCATTACAGCTAAGCATACTATTCTGTATAATTCAAGTTAAAAGCATATTAATCATATGTAATTTTTAAATTTAAAGTTACACAACTCAAATTTATAACCATCCACATAAACACAAGTGAAGACAACCACACAGGATAAAATGAAGGTTACAGAATCTGGTCAAAAGAAAGGAACGGAACAGACCTCAGCTGGGCGTGGTGGCGCACACCTGTCATCCCCATACTCAGAAACTGAGGCAGGTGGATCACTGCCAAGTTCAAGACGAGCCTGGGCTAAAAAAAACAAAAAACAAAAAACCAAGCTCAAGGCCAGCCTGAACTGCACAGCAAGACCCTGTCTCAAAAGGACCAAAAAATAAACTAACAAACCTCTGAAGATCAATCACTTCGACCAAAAAATTCAGTAAGGTAATTACAAAAATCAATAGAACCACAATGGGAATCAGACATGGTAGCCTGGTCAAGAAACCGCAGTTCTGAACACATTCCAGACTAAAAGACCTGCCCGACTTCTGCTACTACATCAGGGCACCGCTCGTGGGACCAAGGCCAGAGGGACTAACGCTGAAGCCCAAACCTGCTTCCACCTTCTCTGTCTACAGGCACGAGATGGAATTCCCAGACACAACAAGGTCGTCAGAGCCCTCTACAAAGTCTGCCCTTCTCCAAGGACACCACTGAGATTGCATCAGCGGCCACTAATTGCAAATAACACGACAATGAAGAGAATCCTACAGCACGGCTCTCAGCAAACTAAGATTGAATTCTGTGTGGGTGAACACGATTCACCTCCGAAGCTGCTTTCAGGTGCAAGAAACCACAGAGACCCAAACCACAACTGCGACAATCACACACACCCACACCCACACCCACACACTAGCCTGGAACCACAGCGGGCTTCTCAAAGCAAACCCACAGACTCCGTGCCAGACCATGGAGGGAGCGATTCTCCTTGGGAAAGAATGGCCAAGGCTTGGAAACACATAGCTAGCGCCCATTCTTCGCTGCACCTGCGGTGCCACATCCAGGCCAGCCGCAAGTCTCAGTCCCCACGGGGCCCAGAAAGGCCAGAAGACTGTGCATTCAGGAGCCTGGCAACTTTCCTGGCATGCTGCCTCATGTAGTACGGGGCACTGAACCCCAGACATGGGCTCTGACCTACTCCCCACCCGTTTTCACACAGGGCCTTGCTAAGCCCTTAAACTGCCCGGGCTGGGCCTGAACGTGTGATCCGCCTGCCTCAGCCTCCCAGAATGCTAGCAGCACAGGTGCCCCTGTGACTCTTTGTTTGGGTTTGTGTTTGCGTCTGTGTGAGACTGAGTCTTGTTATATAGTTCAGGCTGGCCCTGAGCCTGCAGCGACCTCTGACTCATCCTTCCATGGGCTGGGATTGCAGGCGTGCAGCACCACACCTGGCTTAGTTCTCAGTTTACCACCTCTACAAAGCAGCAAGCTCCGTGGGCACAGGCCCTCAGTCCTACTATCTCAGTGCCCTGACAGTGCCTGCTACACCTGCTACACTAACATGTCCCACCACATACACCCACAGTTGATGAGTTAAATGCATGAGTTGAGTCCCTGAGCCTCTGTTTCCTCCCGTGCAAAGCGAGGGTGCTGACACCGAGGGGACCCTAAGCCCCATCAGGCAGCTCCACCCAGGGCCAGATGAAGATACTTCGAGGCGGCACACAAAGTCAACCCGATGCCCAGCCCGGGGTATGCACGCAGGGTGACTTCTGGGAAGTGAACTACAAAATTATCCGTGGCTTTATCACCAGTGTAGTAACCACCAGTGCAGCCCTGC